TACTAAGTAGTTCCAGCGTTGACCGCTCGATAGCGCCGCTTACCCGCGCTAGAAAAAATCAGTCCGGGAACTTTCCGGACAAACTGTGTATACATTGCGCGGTATCAAAAGCTGCGCGATATCACAAAATTGAAATACGCAAATAATATTGCACTCCAATCGTTTTAAATAAACATGTATAATATTTGTAATGTATTTTAAAATTTTATCTTTAATTGAATAAACGAATTCGCGCGCGATTTTCATTTCACTTGATTTAATTGTAATACTTACACAACGTCATGACGTTCGACGAACACCGTTCAGAGAAGGAAGTGTCTGTCTTCACCACAAAATAAAAGTGAGAATAATTATTCTCACCAACAATGACCTTACGCAACGCGCAAGTTGAATCGACGTGAAAACTGCAGTTTCTTTTTTTTTTTTTTTTTATTGACATAAAATGACAAAATCCGTAAATCCGCGTATTGTACAATCACGGAGCAGACATCCCATTCGATAGAGAGTTCATCGAGCACTGACACATTTGTTAATAATTCTTGATAATCCATCAGGACAATGAGCACGACGATTTTTCAAATGATTCGTCGATTAGCAGTGCGATAAAGTGTTTAATGTACGAAGACCTTCGAGATAAGATTATTGCAAATATAAATGGAAGAGACAGACAATTTGGCATTACCGTTTTATCCCGTTTAAAGCGTTTACTAACATTGCAATTCTCGTGATGATTCTCTTTTCTTTCGCGATTTTAACTTTGTCATGTGATAATAATCTCGGCAAACGTTCACGTGAGATATCTGGGTGAGATATCCGCGAGAAAACATCTCATCGTCGTCATCTCATCGTGGAAGTAACTTGATATAAACTTTGCTAATAATTTTATTTATTTATTTGGATTATATTGCAAAAACGTACGCAAGTGTGTTATCGTCAGAAAAAAACAATTTATGACAAGGCGAAGAAAAGAAAAACGTTGCTGTCAATCAAGATTAATTGGTTGTGTCAGATTAGATGTCGTCGCGTTGTCGTGCGGGAACACACAATAGAAGGGATATTTTGACTAATCACGCGTCGATGAACTGACATATTTGCAGAGCACACACACACAATTACTACTATGACAATAAAAGATAAGTAGATATTAAACCAATAGATACAAAACAAGAGACAATTAAAGATGTAAAACATACCGCCGTCTGCAAAACAATTTATAGAAATATAGAGATAGCAACCGCACTGACGTAACAAGTTATTACCAGAGTTTTCTTTTTTATTTCTGGTCTTCTTATCTGCTTATTACTCGAGCACACATGTACGGTACGGTACACAAAAGAAATATCATTTTTGCATTGTGTAAACTTTGCGATGTTATTTTTGGCAGAGATCAATTGCTTCCTCTCTTTGTTAAAAGAAACCAATTAGAAAACAAATATTCGAGTTTTTTTATTTCAAAGTTTTATTTATTCATTTTATTTATTTATTCTTTTTCTAACATTTTTATGTGAAAAAAAAAAATTGACCAATTCTCGCAGTCGGTAGGACTCGAACCTACGCTCCCAGAGGGAATCTGATTTCTAGTCAGACGCCTTAACCACTCGGCCACGACTGCCTCGATTCTAGATTCTTTTATCTGACGAGAATACAAGTTTCGAATAATTTCTATCAATTTTATGATATTCCACATGTGTACACATAATTAATTAAAATAGAATAAATTATATTAGAGAAAAAATCATAATAGATAAAAATTAATCTGAATAATACTTTGGAAATAAAACATACTAAGATCTCGTTTTAATTAAATTAAAAATATACTAAAATCTCTATTATATATATTATCATATATATTATATGTATAAATATACGACAAAAAAATAAAAATAGTCAAAACAAATACACAAAAGTAAAAAACAAAAAAAAGCAACAAAAACTGTGTGACACTATAATAAGAAATAAATCTCCACTAAACTATATATATATATATATATATATATATATTCCTTTGTGATGCGAGGAGATCGAATGATTATGTGCAGCTTGATGTTTGCTAGCATCACAATGCTCACGTAATGATGATGAGATATATAAGTCATGATAAGAAATGACGCGACGATTCGGTCGATCGAAATGACCGATGCCAAACGGTTAATGACGACGATGACGCGCGAACGGAATATATCTCCCAAGAAGAACAAAATTGGAACTTACTCGAGAGGAGTGGCGTCGTCTCGTCGAATCTTCCTGGTGGAAGCGACATTTCGCGCGATCAGACGCATCACTGAAAGAACATGCGTTTCAGTCGCGCTACGTCGGCGCTTCCGATATATGAGAAACGCGTTGCTTCCTGCAACTATAGACGACGAGGTCGATAAAACAGAGCGTGCAATCGTTCCGCCAGTGATAACGAAAGTATAGACTTCGTGTGTGTACAAAAAACCCACATATATGTATCCTTCCGCGGCCTCGCGAGCTTGCCACGCGTCGCCGTCGCGCGTTGTTCTGACACGTGCGTACACGTGCTGATACGTACCGTCTCTATCGTATAGCAATTTGTTTTCTATCGCGAGACACAATATCACTGTGTATAAATGTGTTTGTGAAGAAGGAATTCGATAATAAACTCTCTCAAAAGCCAGTGTGCCTCACATGTTAACGCTAATATTATAAGAGAACCGATGCTTTTTTTTTTTATTTATTTTTTTGTCTGTTTGGATTACGCGCGGGAATAAAAGGAAACACATATTTATGTAAAACGCTTTGTAAACGCGGACGGACAACGATTAACAAACTAATTGTATAATCTAATCTGCTATATTATGTGTGATAATATCTTTCCCGCTATTGTTTAGCGTATCTTCCTTAAAACCTTGAAACGATTAACGCGAAATTTTTGTTACCTTCGCGATTATCTTGTGTGGATTAATGACTACGGAGAGAGTTAATTAAATGACATATTAATCACGTAATAATTGAACGATATATTAATCGTGATAAGGATTACAAAAATTATTTTCAATTTTTATAATTTTTTATAATTGTGTATTAAAAAAAAATACTTTTTTCAACTTTGATAATCGAAATAAGAAGATCTGCTATTTCGAATATCACGGAATATTGAGTTTGTACTTTTGAATTCTCGGATTTTCTAAACTTTTTCGCGTTACATCTGTAAGCAAATAATCCAATTAAAACTGAATTATTAAGTCAAATTAGCAATTACAGTATGTACTGCTATTAAAGAAAGAAATGTGATTACATGAAAAACGAATTTAATAATTTATTATTAGATTTAAACATAATAAAGCTGTTTTTTTTTTTCGAGAAGTCACGCGATGACGCGACTGAGCTGAACAAATTGAGAGAAATATTATTTCAATTAATCTCAGTTCGCGTAACAGCATAGTTTTATATTGTGATCAGTTCTCTCTGACGACACACACACACACACACATATGTGTGCATATCAAAGCGGAAAGCAATCGGGAATTGTTATTTGAATATATACGTGTGACTAATAACAGTAATGAGTTCTTGTTTATCCTGCATTACAGACTATTCTAAATCAATCACTCCATTCGTCGTGTATACAGACGACTTGCTATGGCAAAAAGGCTTCCGCTGATTTTGCAACAAATCGCTCATGCGGATCGATCACAATGCATATTACGTAAGATATCGCTCGATCGTCTCTTCAATCAGCTTTTTCCAGGAATAGGTCGCGTCTCGCGAAGACCCACTTTACGAACATTTCTATTATCCGCTGCAAATTTATGATTTATTCATGGAAGTACGTGCTCATGTTGGTTGTGGTTACACACGGGTGGTTATTTGTACTAAAATTATAACATTAGTGTGGTAAATCAACATTAGCATAGTAAATCAACTCTAATTGACGAATCAACTCTAATTGGTGAATCTAATTAGTAAATCAATTCTATATAGGTAACAACCAAACCTGTCTAACAAAATGACAGATTTTGGAAATGCGAATGCTAATTGCAAAAAAGACTCTGAGTGTAGTTTTATTCTAATAAGGGAACACACAATTAAGTGTAAAATATTAATTAATTAAGTTAATTAATTAAAGAAATCAAAAATAACAAATAGAGACATTTTATCCGATATCCGTCAAATTGACTACAGTTTACGTTCAACTCTGGTTGTTCTAGTTACACAATTGTTTTTTATTTTTTACAAAAAAATAAAAAAATCGTTTCTATATTGTTGTCAACGAGTATAGAAAATCATAATTCTAGTGAATAATCTAAAAGAAAAAGTAGAATAGCAAATAAAAAAAGAACCACTCTTTTCATTCCACAAATTATTCACGTATTTCGTTATATTTTCTTTCTGATGCGTGTGTCGAGCTCTGCACAGTAACCTAACCTGCGGCAGCAATATTTCTGCGATTGTGGAAAATTCGAAAGAAACAATGAATCCGTAGTCGTTTTTGTGTATGTGTGTGTGTGTGCGCGAAGTCGTGGGATCGCTGCCAAATAGTCCCGTCTCTCTCTTTCTCTGTGCGCGGCCGTTTTCAATTAAACGTTATCGCGGGCTTTCAATCACGGAGCAACAAAAAGCGAACGACGAGGATGGGATTCGAACCCACGCGTGCAGAGCACATTGGATTAGCAGTCCAACGCCTTAACCACTCGGCCACCTCGTCCCACCCTTGACAGTGATCGCTTTTGCCGAGGCAAATATCGTGCTTTGGTGCACCTGCTTTTTTTTCATCGTGGGACAGACAGGGGTGTAATCGGAATCATGCACGCGCGCCGTAACTTTATAGGAGATTTGGAAAAAACTTATTGGAAATACAGATCAACATGATATCGCGTTAAAATATTCCTCTGCTATAAAAAAAAAAAAAAAAAAAAAAAAAAAAAAAAAAAAAAAAAAATTTGACTAAAAAAAAAAAAAAAAAAAAAAAAAAAAAAAAAAAAAAAAACAGATTTGACTGCAAAAGAACAGATAAAAGAAAATGATCGTTGTTTCGGAAACGATTTACAGATAAAATTAAATTAAAAAAATTGCGGAATACAGTAGAGAATATTTCTCGTGTAGCTCCACTTACGTATCTATTTTTGCGTTATCAACCACCACGCGAATTATTTCAATTTTGGTTGATTTGGTCTCACGGATTGTACGCCGCGCGTGCACGTGAAAACTTCATCGCCGACGACCTCGAACTTACGCAATCGTGCACATTGTGCGAGCGGTTGTAAAATTCGTCGAAATGCACTCGCGCGATCCGATTGTTTCGACCCAGTGATCAGAAATAATTGGCGCGATCAGATCAACTTCGACGAGAAATGTCTCAAATCAATTTTGAATTTCTAGTTACCAAATAGCTACCATGAAGATGTGACAGCATTATTGTTTGTGACACACATTTTTACTAACGTCTTTCCATCTATTTACTTATTGTAAGTTTTTATCATTCTTTTATTTATGTATTATTCACTATTGCGTGACAATTGTAATTTTATATTGTAGAATTTATATTGATAAAGACCCAAATCAAGGGTCGAAACGTTTATATAGACCACACATTCGTTAATAAATATTGTTCACCTTACACTTCAACACCAGTGTTTGCTTCAAACTGCCGTATCAACATTTCCTTATTTTGAATTTCTACCTGTTGCCCGTGACTGTTAATCGCCGGTTTCTTTGATTGTCGCCAAGTAAGAATTTCTAAGCTTTCCTCTATTCGACAGTACGTAATGACACAAATCAATCGATATTTTATTCGAATCTTCGTTAAATTATGAAAAAAATTAACAACATTTCTTGCGCTTCTGTTTCTCTTTCCGTAATTACACGTGCATATTTTATACGATAATTGACACAGCGATATATTACGTGTTAATTAAACATCTCGAGCTATCTGATTTTTATTAAGTGCACAAAAACAATTTGCGACGTGCAATTGTGCGAAATATAAAAACACACGCAAATGAAAAAATGTCATATCTACGAGCGCTCACGTGAGATATGTGCGTGTGATACACACACACGTTATTATTATCGGATGATCCGCGGAAAACGCGGATGTGCTGAAAAAACTGTGGGGTTACGTAATTTCATTAACGATTCAACATTCAGAAACAGAAGGAAGTGTTATATCAGGAATTTAAACGCGCGCGAACGGAAGAATGCGTCTTTTCGCGAGGAATGCGCCAGAGCAAAGTTGATCGAAGATTTGCGGCCACGTAATAGGTATGGCATCGCGCCATAATGTCTGACGAGAATCGCGACCAAGAAATGAAGAATTACGCCGATAGCGCGCGATTTACGCCGCTATATAGTTCTCAATTCTCTCCCTTCCCTTCGGTAACTAATTCAGACGTCGAAGCCATTGCGCGTGAAAAAGTTTTAGTCGTAACCATGGAGTCTTAAGCAATTCAACTAATCACAGATCGGTATTACCTCACATTAGTTAGAATGCGATTGGTTTGCTCACGACTAAAATTTTGTCACGTACAATGACCCTAACCGTGACGCCAAAGTAGTTCTTCATTGAGAGACGTGTATAATTTCAAATTCTCTCTTTAAACCTATGTTTTTTATCGTGAATTTTGTATCACCACATCCACAAAAATATTCACAGACTGATAAGATAATCGCTGACACATGATGTCATTGTTGCACGTATTATCAAATCTTCAAAAACGATTATAATAAAATAGATCGATTATCGCGAGATAAAATGCTCGATTGTATTATCTTGTGAATATATAGTTGAGAAGCGTTTCTCTTTATATTTATCTCGCGATAACCGTGGTAGATCACCGTGTCATCGAAAAAAACTCCAAGTGTTTTCGCGATATCGTAAAATGCTTCTGACGCGCGAAGGGTTTTACGATATTTTAAAAAAGAAATCTCGTGAAATTTTAAAGCGGAAATTATTATTCGCTCGAGCTTTTTTCTTCGACGAGATAATCGGTTGGCTCGTTCGATACAGAGTCGCGCGCCAAACAGCGCGCGATTAATTGTCATGCGATTCGTGTAACGCTATCGGATTCCGCAGGTGCATACACACACGTATATATATATATATATATATATATCTGCGATAACACTTTGCGTGTAACAGGACATTAGATTGTTCGAATTGTTTGTATGTACGTAGGTATGTACGTGCAATTGATGCGCGTCGCGTCTTCTCTCGTCTTCGAATAATTAGCGCGCGGGTCGCGCGCGATCGAAGGATCGTCATCACGAAGAGACAATCCCTCGCCTCTATGTTCCCGCCTTTGATTTGGGGAAACTCTCATCACATTCACTCCGACGTCTCGGAGCTGTTAGAAGATTAACGAACGGAAGAGATTAGATCGCGAAATGCGGCGTTAAGATCTGCTCTCGCAGTAATGAGATTCGTTTGAGCGTAGAATAGCGGTTTTGCCGGTGCTTCTTTATTGAAAATTGAACACTTACGTGCTTACGCAATCGCGAAAGAGTGACGTAATAACTCGAGTATTCGTTTACGATCCGCGGATACACGATTATTTCCTGTGCGATACTTTACGATACACTTTGCGAATTGCGTCGGACCGAGCGAATCCGAGTTCGCAATCGGAGGTGTTATCTGGTCTATTGGTTCAATATATTAAACGCCGACGAGCACCGCGCGCTCGATATGACAAATCACAATCGGCTTGATTATACGCGCGCATTATCACACAATTTAGATAAAGTATGTAAATTGTTTTACGTGTATCGTTTTGTCTTCAATATTTTTTGCATCACGAAAATTCTGTGATTTTATTTGTTCGACAATTTTTCCTGACAGAAATCATATTTGCGCACTGTGTGTTTCAATAATTAAAAATTGAAACCTGAGAACTTCTGGAATGTCAATGTATCATATGCGAAATATCATATCTTGAATTAAATATTTTTCGCGCAGATTCTTTCCCTCTCTAATGGGATTTTTGTATTAAAAATGTACAATAAAAATGGAAAGAAATAATTTTGCAGATATATTTAAAACACAAGCAATTCTTGAATTAAATATTTTTATGCAGATTCTCTCTCTCCCTGATGGGATTTTTATATTTAAAATTTGCAATAAAAATGAAGAGAAATAATTTTGTGGATTTATAATTTGAAACACAAGCTCCATAACAGTCGAGTGCGTCAATTTGTACGATATACGATACGTGTAATTACATTGATTAAAAATAACATTGATTCGCGTAAGTGAGTTAATTATTAAATTAGAGAGAGTGTGTGTGTGTGTGTGTTTTTTTTTTATATTGCACTAATTACATTCCGTTCGACACAACATATGTGCGAGCGTAAGTATACAGTGTGGGCGTGCATGAGCGATGATGTAAGAGAGAACGGAAGCACTCGCGAGATAGCGAGCTGGCAAGCAGACCGGCAGCAGGCAAAACTCGCAAAAGGAAGGCTTGTGCATTTCTTATCGCTAACGTTGCATGCTGAGCACCAAATTATGTAATGTCACCACAGGTAAACAGTGATTATTGCCACATTTTGCCGGGCAATTAACAAATTTTTGTACAAAACTCGCAGTTGTTCCGATTAAATTTGTGTTTTTTTAAAGAAATATTAAAAATATTTATTTAGTTTTTCAATACGATCTATGTGTGTGTGATAACGTGTCATTGCGCAAATTGTTCTTGCAAACAGATTTAACATCATTTGTGTGATTGCGCATTTATAAAAATGCAAATGTATGAACTCAACTGCGTTATTTTTTTTTTATTGCTCGCGTCGTTTCATCGATTATCGCATTTTCCATTCTGGTAAAACTGTATCGATCGACTGTCAGAATCGCCACACTTCATCGCATATACTGATTGCGCGCGCATAACGCGAGACGTTATGAATTCTCAGTATAATTATACCGCGCCGCGGTCTCTTCGTTTTATTTTCACCTATTTTCATTATTGCATCAATTAGAGAACATATTTTGAGATATTTTGAGAAATATCTTTTAGCGAACAATAAGCAAGATGTGTGCACATAACTTAATCGACTCTCAGATCTCTCATTTGGAAGAGTAAAAAAAAGTGGAAATAATATGTAATTAAATAAAATATATAATTAATAAAAACTAAATAAATAAAAGTAAAAGATTATATAAGTTTTTTTTATATTTATTTATTTGAGACGATAGATTTATTATGTTAGCGCCATAAAATAATTACATGAAATAATCATGATTTTACATTTGTATTTGTATTAATTTTTTTTTTTTATTACAAATATAATGTTTTTCTTTCTTTATTGTATATCGCGCAAACGTGCGTGTATCGCATATGATCGATTATATTATCGGTGAACGATAATATGCGCGCGAGCAAATGGAACGTCGCATAATCGGATTCCATCGTCACTCCACATGAATATTGACGCGGTTTATTATTCGAACCAAACGTTCTTATTTATATTAGACTTTGCACCGCGCGTAATCCAATCTGACAGACAGCGTGATGGCTTTTTTTTTTTTTGGTAGAAATACGCTGATGATAATCATATTTTTTTCAGGAAAATCCCCTTTGTACAACATTTTATTAGACGTCTCTTGTTAACAGCGCGGTGGATCCCCTATGCACGAACTTTTTCCTCACATGACTTCGCTCTCGTTCGGATTCGTGGAAATGTAAATTGATTTTTATACAATCTCGCATTACAAATTCCAGTGTAATGACTGTTTAACGAGAGATCATTACGCACGCATACATATACACACACAAAAGAGGAACAGTAGGATCTCACTCGTTAATTCTCATAGTAGTCAACTTCGACCAACGAGAGAGAGAGCACGTGGTGATCCGGCGCGTTGGCGGGGAACCCGCACGGTATCGTGTCGCAAAAGTAAAATTCGCGACTGTCAGATCAGCGCGGTACAGGTGAGCGAGCGAGCGAACTCTCGTAGCTTCCGCGCCGCCGCTGCGAGGTGACTTTGTGTCATAACGGCGCGCGAGACCGCCCTCGCTTATTTTTCCTGATTTCTCTCCGGATTGCGCTTTTTCGGCAATTGCGCGCGAGGGAAGCGAGAAAAGCAGTTCTCACGTACGAACAAGAACGGTAACGGTCGACGACGGTGAAGCGCACGTCGTGTTCTCGACGTATTTCCGACTCGAGTGAAACAAAACAGAGAAGACAAAATGTATAACCGGAGAGATTCGTAGTTTGTGACATTCTGACCGCAAACCAGGGTGAGTAATTGAATACAAATAAAGATGTAAAAAGTAATTTCGCGAAACGAAATTGAGACTTGCGACTGTAAAAAATGGTGTTTTTTTTTTTTTTAACTGGACCACGTATTAGATTCATTCACAAACTGGTTTCCGATTGAGACAATAACAATTTTTATCTTTTTTTTTAAGATAATTTAAATTTCAAAAAGTTCTAATTTCAAAAAGTTCTACATCCAATGATATTTAAATCAATACAAATTTAAAAATCTGTGTTAGGAATCACAGCTACGTCGAATTATCTTAGAAAAATAAAATAAAATTCTCTTGTTGCCCGAATCGGAAACTTGTTTGCGAGTCAGCCTAATATACATAATGTGAATTTTTTTATATGTGATTATCTCAAAACCGAGGTTGTTAAATAAAAGCGGCTATTTATAGCCATTTTGTGTTTTCTCGCGCGATCGACGCCACGCGAGAGATCGAGCGCAGTCGAGGGTATTCGAACGGTTCGTTTAACAACTTTTACGTGCGTACACATTAGAAGAGCGTGCGGTTCGTTGACTACCTATTATACGATGTGTAGTAAAAACGTGCAGTAAAATAGAAGATGCCAATCGACGCGCGCGCGCAACGGTCATACGATGACATACTTTGGCAACGCTTGCGAGAAAGAAATTCGTTCGCACGCGCGCGCGCGCATTTATATGCGCGCTGCACGTGATTATGTGCGCAACTTGTGCGCGGGAGAACAACTCTTGTCCGATCGACCGCTGAAATCGCGCCAGAGAAAGCATCATCCGCCTTTATGTGGGATTATAGGTCTTCTAATAAACTTTCGCACGCGCGGCGAACTGCTAAACGAGTGAAACGAGCGAATTCGCCGCGACATTTCACGCGTTCAAGAGAATCGAATCTCGAGCGCGCGCGCGCGTCTGTGAAACACTCGAGTGCAGATTCGAACAGGAATATTTTGCGAAAAAGCGACACACGGCGCTCTTGTGCGCAAATTCTCGAGTGTGCTCGCAAATTGAAAATTGTGTATACGTTGTAAACAAAGTAATTTATTATTTTTTTGGAATATCCTTCCGAAAGAAGGAACGTTGCTTCATATCGACTTAAAATGTAGCACATCGAGCCGTCGTTTATTTTTCGATCCTTTACCGCGCGCGCGGTTTTCTCCTTCGAAACGATAATATATTAAAATTGTCAAAGAACGTTCCTTCTCTTTGAGTTTCGTAAAATACGTCGGTACCGTATTAGTTCGGTTTCGAATCCACTTATATAAGGAAACCTTGACCAAAGCGATATTTTTTTCAGTTACGGTGTCTGACGATATCAAAGGTAAAAACCGCTGATAGACCTCCGATACACTTCCTCGTGCTGCAATCGCGTCTACGCGAAGTACGAATATGTGACATTAACCCGCCGCGATTGTATTTCTTTTGACACATCCGATCGAACAAATGTGTAAATAATCGTCCGAACGATTTACGAGGAATATCACTTTATCTCGAAAAATATTGGGACGTAGTTACGTAATATCGTAAAATAACACACAAACGCGTTTCTAAAAATATTCTAAATTTCACGGATCATCTTTGACATCATTTTTTCTGCCGTTTTCAGGAAACAAATACAAAAGTTCTATTGACATTTGCGTCATGTTGCGAATTTGACAGCTACATCTTTGCTAAATGACACACACACACACACACACACACACATGTGAAATAATTGCTTAAAACCTCGAAATTACGTTCGTCTGCTTGTCGTACAAAAGCGTTCAAGGATTTTCCAGGTAAACTATTCATTTTCTCGACTAACGCGAAACCGTGATTCATTGACAATCCAGTTAAAAAACATAGACAGCTATTCGCCGCAATCGTTCCGTCGTTGCAAAATGTTTGGCCGATGATGAATTGCCGCTAAGTAAGATCAATCTGACGACAAAAACGTCTCTTTTTTTTCTCCGGAAGGATGAGACCAGCGTTAAGAAATTCACTCGCATGATGTGTTACATAATAATTCTCTCAAAGTCTCGCGGAAAAATTTATACATATCGTGACACGACACTTCTTTGACAATTAAATTGAAATAATATCAAAGAGGTAAAAAAAAAAAAAAAAAAAAAACAAGAACGTAATCAGTAATTAAATAAGACGGTTTTAATCTTTGGTAAAATATTGATTCAAAATCATTGATTCTTTCGATTAAATATATTTTGCGGTTCAATGCGAGATAACATACTTGTGTGTATAAAAACGATTATGTTATCGTGATATAACATGCACACGGAAATCTTTTAATGAGTACGAGTAGCGCTTGTATTCTGTTAAATACTGAGAATATAAGTGTTTTGTTTATAATTTTTTTCAAGTACGTGTGATCGATAAGCACACGTTCCGCTGACGTCACAGACTTTTGTAAAATTGTAGAAGAAACTCGATAGTCACGAAATTTTTCTGAATTAAAGATACTCTGAAAGAGTGACTAAAACGTTTCAGAGATTGTAATTACATTTTTCTATAATTTCAGAAGATCATAAAATATTTAAAATACATAAAATACACATAAGTCATAAAGAGAGAGAGAGAGAGAGGCAGAACTACAAAAAAAAAAAAAAAAAAAAAAAAAAAAAAAAAAAAATCGATGAATTCAAACTAGATATTTCGAAACAAAGAAATTATTTATTTTGTTTTTCTATCTTCAGCTGGAAAAAACTTCAAATATTATTTAGAGACAGAGTCTCAGACTGAGACATCAGTCAGAACAATGCAAACTCTAGCTAATTTGAGTTAAACACGACACGTTTGATCATTTGTGTTTATTTGTAATGACCATGCAAAATATATAAATAACCACTCACGGACGTTTCTTCCGTAACTGTGGGTGAAACAAAAAACTATATTACGCATGCAGAGATGTGATATAATTGTTATCGTAAAATATACCACGACATTGTGTATCTCCGAGATAAACTTCACTACCGGATCTCCAACGCGCTAGCTCTGAAATATGTTGCGACAAAATTTACAACGAATACTTTTCAATATTTTTTTTTTTAACGAATCAATTCCAATGCTAAGGTTTTTTTTTAAGCGAGTTTTTTTGTCGTCTGTAACGTTTCACGCAACACATTCATCACGCGCTTACGTCGCCGCGAACTATCAGAAGACAATCGATTTTTTTTCAAAACGACGCAAATAAAAATATAACACGCAATATAATGAGAACGACGATTCCATTCGACACAGAGAAGGCGCGGCTAATCGGAATATTGTTTTTTTTTTCAGCGCGAAATTAATTACGTAAACATCTCGTGTACGCGCTTGAGACAATGTGTCGTTGTTCTTTTGCATGTTTCTTTCCTCGGACGGACATCGCGATGTTATTCGCGACGTGATGATCCCGAATTCCGCGAAACAAACCCGTACACACACACACACATATCGTTTTTCGTTTGCGGAACTACTATCGGACGATATCAAATTACACGTGTATAATTCGCATGATTTCCCAACTCGCTCATCTTTTCACGTTAACTTGTTGTTGCGTTCAAACAGCTTCCCGTATCGCCGCGCTTCCGCTTCGTAACGAGCTCGATTTTCAAACACGAAACGCGAAGCAGCTTCGGTTTAACGTGTTGCGTATCGCGCGAAAGTTTTATTATTGTCGAAACTCGTCGTAGTTGCACGACTACTATAAAAAAAAAAAATGATTGAAAGTAACATTTCAGGATTAACTCAAAATTGTGTGTGTGTGCGTTTCTGACAAATTGCAATTTTAAACGTGACAATTTCAGCGTGATGCGCGCGTCGCGCGAGATAGACGAGATCATCTGTCGATTGTTAATCCCGTTTATTATGACTCAAATTTGTGTGTTTCAGAGGTTATTCGCACGCCACATATAATTCCGTGCGCATTTCACAATTATTTGAGAGATTTAAATGCGGACATATTGCAGCGCAGAAAACAGTTAATTAATTAATTATAAAACATTTATTAATTACCGAATGTTCGTACGTCGATTATTTCGCTCGATAACTAAATTGACAAGTAACAAAAAAAAATACACATTTTATCGAAATATGCGCAGTGTATTTTTGTTTTTTCAAGCATCGTCGCATACTTTTTACAGAATTATATTGTTTCTCCTCTTGAGAGTTCTCTCCGCTTCAATTTGAATTTCAACACACGTGTGCTTTTTTTTATAATTTTCTACAAATTTTAACAGCTGTAAATATTTATTAGCGTGTAAATATTTATTTACGTGTAAATATTTACAAATGTGAAAGTTAACGTGCAATTATATTTGGCGTAACTAATTTTCAATTTTGCGTCGATTAACGCGATCGAGCGTTTGTGTGCAATATCCTTTTTTTTTTTTTTTGCTCAACTCGCGTGTGTACACGCACGTACTTTCCGTTAGAGTGAAATTCATTCGCTCTTTTACGAGTTTTCGCAAATCCAATTGCAAAATTCCGTCAATTACATATCGGCGTATTTGTTTGTCGTTGCCGTGCTTTTTTTTTTTCGTCCATCTGGAAAACCTCGAGAGCATGAACGCAATTGTGTGAGCGCGATCACACCCCGTCCAAGTATTTTTATCTCGCGTGGAAAAGAGAACGCGAGAAAAGATTTTTCTCGAATCGTTTTCTATTTCCCTTCTCGCGTTCGCGCGATTGAATATTTCAGCAAGAAATAATCCGACACGTGATTTTGCAATTGCACTTTGTTTAAAAGAAAAACAATACACGTCTCTTTGCAAAACTCTTAGAAATCTTAATTTTTAGAATATCGCGTTGCATTGTAATCGCCCGGACAAGAGAAAGTTATTTATGTCGAAACTCAACAAATGTGCACGTTCGTAACTAATTAAAAGTTGCAATTTGTATATAAGAAAATCAACGTCGCAACGTCCTTTCGTCGCGTCGAGAATTTCGCGTTTTGCGAAACAATTCCAACTAATAGACGGAGAGTTGGCTACATAACTTTTTATGTGACTCGATACAGTCCTAATTTTTACTAGAAAATGGTCACTTACTATCGATAAAAATAAAACTCGCTTGTCAGAAGTCGCTCTGAAAGACAAAAATGAAAATAGACGGAAAATTGTGAAAATTCTTAAGGAAATAATTGTAATTGGGTACAGTCACAAAAATGTGTACAAACACAGTAAATTATGTTAGAAAACAAAAAACAAATCGTTAGAAGTGTAGGTAAAAGAGAAGTCACCGTCAGAGTTGCGTTAAAGTTGCGGAAAATTCGGAAAAATTATGTCATAAGTATACAGTTCAGACAATTTGTTTACTTGTTTTGTATACATTAAACAAGCTACCTGCAAATTGTCAGAAGCGTAGATGGAAGAGAAGTATTCAAAAATCAATAAAAAGTGTCGGATGTATATAAACCGCTCGATTAGTGTTATCGCTTAAAATCTTTCAAAGTAACTTCTGACGATTCACGTATATATTAATACAAGTATTTACGATAAATATACAAAACGTCAGAAATATACTAAAAGCCATTTATTGGTAATTAAGCATAATGTAAGCGATAACACTAATCAAGCGGTTTATATACATTCCACACACTTTATTGATTTTTGAATACTTCTCTTCTATCTACGCTTCTGACACAATTTGTTTCTTGCTTTATCTACACTTCTAACGATTTGTTTTTTATTTTCTAACATAATTTATCATGTTTGTACAAATTTTCGTGACTGTACCCAATTACAATTGTTTTCTTAAAAATTTTCATAATTTTCCGCTTATTTTCATTTTTGTCTTTCAGAGCGACTTATGACAAGCGAGTTTTATTTGTATCGATAGTAATTGAACATTTTCTAAGTAAAAATTAGGACTTAGGTACAGAGTCGCATAAAAAGTTACGTAGCCAGCTCTTAGACTATAAGGATTACAAGACACTCGCGGTTGAGGGAGGCGGTACCTGATGTAGATACGCGCGTGTGAGATTTATAACGATACAATAACGAAACAACCTATAATTGCGCATAGATTATCAGTGAACGGCAGATCTGGAGGATAAGCGCGACAAATGAAATGAAAAGAAAAAAATATACAAATCAGTTCACTCCGTTTTCTCTCCCGCTTCAGGGTCACCGTGCAGCAAAGCGAGCAATCGGCAGGATGGAGTCCACCTGAGAGGAGGAGTCCACCAGCTTCACATCGGCGTCGCTTATCGATATCGAAAGACAACACGGTCCGAATTCGCGTCTCGATCGTCATCACGTCTCGGACATCATCATGTCCAGGTACAACGTGAACGAGGAGCACGACATGGAAAACCAAGGTCGAGAGGTCACGCTAACAGGCTTCAGCAGCAACGTGCTCGACGAGGTTCTTCGCAGCAACAACAACGAGCCGAACGCCCCGAACGGTAATCCCAGCCACGGCGCTCATGCCATTACCAAAGACGCGAAGATCGTCAGTCTCGAAGGTGAATTGTTTTTCTCAAATTGTGAATTTTGATACGTACGTAGAGCTGAGAACAATCGTTGAACAACTTAGTTTTATCGCACTATCCGTTTTGGACATTTGGTATTTCAGGAAACGTTTAGTTCATTGATATTTTTAATTTCTTCGATATTTAAACAATTAAGTTAACAGGAAGAAGAGCTACGCAGATTAATATTTCGCGTTTATTTCACACACATTTAGAAGAAAAGCGCATCTTAATCATTTCCGTGATTTAAAATAGAAATCTCATCATTTGACGGATTTGGATGTTCATATCGTGTTTTTAATCAGAAAACCGGATTTGAAACGGGATACGTATCTCAAACATTTTAGAACATTATCGAGACATAAAACCGAACATTTTTTACGATAACACAAATGCTGAATTCAAGACAAAATAAATTCTTTCTTTCTCTGCCAAACACATATTGTGTTGATTTATGACATCGCTTGTTGAAGTATCGGTTATTGCTGTCACTCAAGGTACGGCGCGGTGATGTGTTTGCGTATTTCTTCATACGACACACAAACGATACGTCAACCAAACAGGGAAATTACGCGAGGTAGTACGCGAGACTTCATCGCATTGGCGACTCACATTTTGCTGTTCGCACGCGAAAGTAGATGAGAAAATAATCGACGTGTGTGTGTGTGCGATTCAACGTGTGTTGTTGGAACACACAACAACACGTCATGGGAGTGAGGACGGTGGCGGAAACGTCGGCAAAAATTGACAAAAATGATCGCGCACCGTATACCGACCTTCACTTTCACGGTTGAACGGTCGTTTTTAGCGTTGTTCACAATTGAAAAAATTGTTTCAAGGCATGTCAGCTCTGTCGAGTTGTATATTCGCGTTGCGCATGTGTCTTTACACACGCATCACGTAAAGAACGAGAAGATAATATTTTGCACAAAGCAATGTGTCTATTTTCTGACCTCCCAAAAAAATAATTTGAGATTGAAACGGCCAGTTAGAGCTTGATGAAACGAGATCTTAGCGTGAGTATTTTATTAACAAATTATAAAATTTTTCGCCTTAATTCGGAATCAATATCAAGTGTCTGTCATAGTCAAGTCAACTAATTTGACAGATTCAACGTCGCTCGAATTAAAGACCGAAACGTCGGAAATGTTATAGTTTATCGTAATAAAATATTCAAACACACACACACACACACTTGAGAAATCCTACATCCACGCTCTTATCGGCTTTAATCTGCGGTAATTTATCTTCAATATAGACAAGTAATTTTGCGCGTTGAAATGTGTAATTTCGTACGGGACAAATTGTCGAGAAATTGTTACTAAGAGTTGACCGAGAGTGATTAAGTATTTTCAAGAATAGTATTCTCAAGATATTGATAAATGTATACACAAATCGATCGAATCGCGAGAAATACAATTTTGAAATACTCACGTCACACAATCGATTTGCAATAACGAAACCACACTGCGTGTGAGAGGCGCGCAAGAAAATAAATTGCATTGTGCACGTAAGAATCTGTTGAAAAAAAAAAAAAAAAAAAAAAAAAAAAAAATAGCCGTATGTGTCATTCGCCTGTTCGTTCGCGCTTTTGTATACATGCTACGTTGATTAATGCGCAAATCACGATAACCGGTTTGCAAAAAGTTCACTGTAATGTTTTTAATTGCGGAATGTCGATCTAGACGAAGAGCAATAATCGACGCTGTTACGTCAGCTTTTGTTTTCGCGCCAAGTAAATTTTGATTGTGATACAAAAAATCACGCCTAACGTCCCCCATCATCATTCGAGTCACACGTATTGATGAATTATCTGTTCTACATGTTGTCTGATATGTAAATAATTTGATTAACATTCGTCTCTTTCTCTCTCTCTCTCTCTCTTTTGCGCGCGAGCAGATACCTCGACTTTGTGCGTCGAACGTTATTCAAATCGCGGGAACCTCATCTATTATGTATTCGCGATCAATTGAATCGTTCGCTATTAATTAGAGTTTATTGTTGTTAAGTAAAATCAATAATACTTTTATCGTACTCTCTTACCGGGACTGACACCAAAGGATGACGAAAGATAAGAGACGCGCCGATTGTAATTACATCTCTCTGACGTATAATCGCAAATTGTACAAGAATCACATGACTGCAAAAAATTAACTTCTTCCGGAAATACGAGATTCACACACGAAATTGACGCTTCTCAGATATGTTTAATGATAACGCAAAAATAAACATCAGCCTTGTGAGCTCTCCGCAGAATAATAACGATCTCGAAGATGCGGCGCGAATTGAGACATTTGGATTTGTTGTCGTATCTTGATTAAAGTCGCTAATTAAAAAAAAACTACGTTTTAACGTCTCTAAGAAAAATATGTCCGACTTCCGTCTCAGTGTAAATAATAATGAGAAGAGAGAGAGAAATGTAAATATAAAAATTTCCAAATACAATAGATGTGGAATGTTTTTTTATATATTCGTTATTTTTATCACATGAAAAATTATCATATTTTTTACGTTTTATATTTACATTGTAAATGTTTCTGTCAGAGAGATATTGTCAATATATCTTATACTTTATATCTTTTCCACTAAATTACCAGTCGAGTGGAATAATTTGTTCTGGCGTCTTTGTGCGCTCAATCGTTTCTCTTCTTTTTCTATCAAATCCAAGAATACAAATGAGTGCGCGAAGCGGCTGATGAATGCAAAAAAAAAACAAAATTATGTCACTATCAGAGCCGCATCGTTAGCACGCGTGAACATAACGCAACGCGAAGTGGAAGTTTCTTGTAACGAAATCACTTCCTTGTGACACACAAGATATATTTTAATTTGTAGCTACGCTTTTTCACCTACACACAAATGTCACTTTTTTATGTGCAAAATTACACGTTGCGTACGTACTTCAGATGTTCGCACGATTTTCGAGAAAAAATTGTGTAAAATTGTTGTAATAAAAAAATTTTTAATAAATATCCCGACATTTTTGGTTTTCGAGTTATTGTTGTTACAGAATACACGATTCTATATCTATATATATTATTGCTGCAGAACACGGTATTTGTGTAATTAAAGTTTAGTATTTTTGCGATATACGTTTTTCAGTGCCGCAAAATTCTGACAAGAGCGTTCGGTGGACCTCTGGGAGAAAATGGCTTCGTCGACGAGTCCGGAGGTCCTGCACAAGAAAGCTGTTGTTCAAAAGGATACCGATCCTCACGTGGTTACCGAATTATCGAAGAGACTACATAGTGAGCGATCTGGTGGCCGGTATCACCGTCGGTCTCACCGTCATACCGCAAGCCATAGCGTACGCTAACGTCGCGGGACTACCGTTGCAGGTAAACTCGAGTGTTCGGCAAATTAAACTTGTTCAGTCTTTGGAACACACTGGGCTTATAGCAAATTTATATTAAAAAAAAAAAAAAAAAGGGGAACTCACCTTGTTGTAGCAGTTGTTTTGGATAGTGTGTTCGTGCGAGTTGAAGTACGAGACCTGATTAGAGCATTTTTCGACAAAAATTTTCCTCAACTGTACATTTTGCAAACTGAAACCAACGTATATCGCTTTTGACCGCAGTACGGGCTCTATTCGTCTTTTATGGCCTGTTTCGTGTACACGATCTTGGGTTCTTGGAAGGATGTGCCTGTCGGACCGACCGCAATCGCCGCGATCCTGACGAGAGAGACTTTGCAAAAGGCACATCTGGGACCCGATTTTGCTGTATTGTTGTGCTTCATCTCCGGTTGTGTTTCTTTACTAATGGGCATTCTGCAATTAGGTAACGTATCATAAAAAACACACAAGGATTACATGACGTGATTTTCCTTACCTTCGTAAATGTATTTTTTTTTTGTCTCGCACTTTTCCACGTAACACGCACGTTATTTCACGTTTAAATTGTTTCTTTTTCTTTCTGCGACAGCTTTAATTTAATTTATTTTTCGCCTAACGCGACAATTAGGATTCTTGCTGGATTTTATATCGGGGCCGGTGTCCGTGGGTTTCACGTCGGCGGCTTCGATCATCATCGCCACTAGTCAGGTGAAGGACATTCTCGGGATCAAAGTAACCGGCACCAAATTCGTTCAGGTCTGGCAAAATATCTTCGAGCACATCAGAGAGACCAGATGTTGGGACACTATTCTGGGAATCGTCTGTATAATCATTCTGTTGCTTCTTCGAGTAAGTGCGCCATTATTGAAATAATCGCAACAGGTTGCGGGAAAGCAACTCCGGGGTTCTTGCTCCGGCGTTGCTCGCAATTTAACAATGGAAACTCGAGAACCGCGCATTGTTCGTGTTCACAGAAGGTGAAAGACTGGCTGATAGTACCAAAGAATACCAAAGTACCGTCGCAATTACAACAGGTTATTGCAAAGCTAGTCTGGCTGATCTCCACAGCAAGAAACATCATCATAGTGATCGTTTGTGCGGTAATGTGCTGGCTCCTCGAGGAACATCTCGGAGAGTCGCCTGTCATTCTGACGGGTCACGTGAAGCAGGGACTGCCGGAAGTTCGTTTGCCGCCTTTCGAATCCCACGTTGGAAACGACACTTACACTTTCATCGACATGATCTCCGCTCTCGGTACCGGCTGTTTGGTCGTTCCCATGCTGAGTCTACTGGAAACTATTTCTATCGCCAAAGTATTCTGTAAGAAAATTCTAAAAAAAAACAAAATTATCAATGTATTCGAATTTTTCTATTAAATAATAACTAAACATAAAATTCTTGAAATAAAATTACTTATAAATATTACAGTTAATTTGTTTGGACTAACACTAAAAAAATAATATATTAATATCTAAAATAATGCTTTTCTTACGTTTCATACATAACGTATATACGACCTGTTTCGGGTAATTAAATTTATATTATCTCTGCAGCTGATGGCAAGTCGATAGACGCGACTCAAGAGATGTTGGCACTGGGTGCATGCAACGTGGTTTCGTCGTTCGTGTCGTCAATGCCTGTGAGCGGCGGTCTCAGCAGAGGTGCGGTGAACCACTCGTCCGGGGTTAAGACGACACTCGGCGGCATCTATACCGGACTGCTGGTGCTTATATCGTTACAGTTCCTGACACCCTATCTATATTACATTCCAAAAGCTGCTCTGGCGGCCGTCATCATCGCCGCGGTCGTCTTTACGGTGGAGTTTCAAGTGGTGAAGCCCATGTGGCGAAGCAAAAGTACTTTTTCCTCTATGTAAATGTAGACGAAATCGTCATACAATAAAGCGGCTGGGGAAATAGAAAGTTCATATCGCAATGCTATTTTCAGAAATCGATCTCATACCGGCCGTGACCACGTTTCTGTGCTGCCTGTTTATACGACTCGAACTGGGCATAGTAATCGGCATCGGTATAAATCTCTTGTTCCTACTTTACGCCTCGGCCAGACCGACGTTGCGAGTTCACAAAGCTACAGTAAGTTTACAACCTTGTGTGAAATAAAAAACATATTTTGCAATTATCATCGTTTATTTCTATTTGGTTTCTTAAAATTTCTCATTTGTTTTTTTTATATTTTAATTTCTGTAATGAGATTTTTCTCATATATAATTTTTCTTATTCGCGCGTCCTCAATTAAACAACAATCGAGAAGTTTTCTTCGTAACACAATCATAATCTACAAAACGTACAATATATCGTGTTTCTTGTTTGTTTTTACAGAGCATTAGTGGCTATGAATATCTTGTCATCACTCCGGATCGAAGCCTGGTGTTTCCGAGCGTCGAATATGTCCGAGCTGTTATTAGCAAGCAAGGATTACGAGAGGGAATCAACGTCCCTGTTGTGATAGATTCCACGCATATTCAAGCAGCTGATTTCACAGCGGCAAAAGTAATTTTATCGACAAAAATTCATTCAAAAGATAATAAAAAGTTGCTCGCTTGTGCGATATAATCGCGCAGACATATCGTTTATTGTAACTGCAATTCTCTCTCTTTTTTTAGGGCATCAAAACTTTAATAGAGGATTTTGCGAAGAGGGGTCAGCCATTGATTTTCCACAATTTAAAGCCGAGCGTGATCGAAATATTTAAAGGCGTAAAACCCTCGGGACTCACATGCAGTTCCAGCGAGATCGAACTCAACGACTGCCTTAAAGGTAAATTTAATTTTTATAGTGGCTCTGGTCTATGTTGCATAAAAATAAATTTTTATTTACGTATTATATATATATGTATTTTTGTTTACGTATTATATATATAGGTATTATATTTTTATATTGCAGAATATACAAATAGCTCAACCGAAACTCTCAATCGATATTGAAGAAAATATGGAAAACGCGCAGTATATTTTTCGAACGTCAGTGTTATAACGGGAACATTTTGCTACCGCTATAGACTGTGCAGCGCAAAAAAGTGTCACTTTCAAATTTATTTAATTAAATTAAGAGGTTGTACATATGTATTTTAGCACATTTCAGTATAAAATTAGTCTGTATGATATTTTTGTACTTACGAAAGGCAGGAGTTTCAATTATTATTTACATTTCGACGCAACATTCATCCAACACATTCAGATACAAACAGATCTATAGAATAATCTGGCGCTACAACCGAACAAAGTTGTACATCAAAGTAGCCTCGTTATTCAAGAAAATTAGATAGCTACAAAGTTGTAAAATGATCTTTTTATATCATTTATACAATAACTTCTCTCTCTCTCTCTCTCTCGACTTTTCTTTGAGCTTGGATATTATTTTTTAAACACATTAGTACAAAATTATGTTGAAAGAAAAAACGGCACGAGATATTAGTTTTTAAGATTCGTTAAAATTTAAAAAATTTTTATTATCTCAATTTTTATTCTCTCAATACTGAGGCATTGTATGAAAAACTTTTATTCTGTATTTACGACCTTTTTTTTAAAAAAAACAAAATTATCTCGTTTTTTCTCCTTCCCCTCCCGCTAATTATATGCGTACGCTATTGACTTATTTAACTCATGTTGTTCTGTGTCAAAACTCTGAAGCAGACTCTTTCTGACGACATTGTAAGCCGATTGTAAATAATCTCATTGTAAATATATCAGAATTTCGCTCTTCTAAAAATGAAATATGCTTTCGACAAACGCGAACACACGTGACACACGTTTAAAATATATCAGTCATATTTCAAGACAAATCTGTTGTGATATACAATATTGCAAAATATGTACATGTGTGTATTGAAAATCAACAAAAATATTATTAATTAACGCTGATTTCACGAGCACCTCCGATTGGCGTTGCTATGTAGAATGCGGGTGTACCGGAGTACCTACGTGAAGCAAAAATATATATGTTTTTTACCGCTTACAAATGATATACGAGCTTAATATAAAAAGAAAAAAGAAAAAACGAAAAAGATATTCACTTCGCTTTTATTTGTTGAATCGCCCTCTCAATCGCGTCCTTTCTCAACAAAGTGACGGTGCAACCACCGAAGCCCGCACCTGTCAAGCGACTTCCCAACACACCATCCACCTCTCTAGCGGCTGAGACAAGCGAATCGAGCTCTGCGGAGGAGACCTCGTAGTCGTCGCGCAGTGAATCGTGACTCTCGTTCATCAATTGGCCGAACTGTTGAAAATCACCTTTCTCGAGCGCCACCGCGGCGTTCAGGGTTCGTTGAATTTCCGTAATCACGTGGCGAGCTCTTCTCACAACGTGAACGGCCGCGTTCTGTGATTCAAGTACTGAGACAAAAAAAACAAACACCGTTATGCACAAAACAATTAACTCGCGTTGCACATAAAAACCAATTAAACAACAAAACCTGTAATTAGATATTAAAATTAATATTAGATATTAGATTAATATTAGATATTGATTTTACAGACGTGTAAGAAAGATTATATTAGAAGAAAATTGAAACATCGCAAGAGAAACAATACCTTGAATGTCATTTATATTCGCATCCCTCAAGCTTTTTTTGTCCAATATTTTCGCAGCTTCGTAACAACAATCTCTGCGCTCGCGATAAGCGCTCGAGCTCAACTTGTGCGGCGCGTTCGAATTCGTTATGAGGAAAACGTAGTCGTCTATGTAAAGCATGGGTATTTGCTTTGTGGTGAGATCACGACAGTCAAGCAAGAGAGCACAGCCCTCCTTGCCCATAGTCGAGATGAACTGGTCCATTATACCGCAAGGCACTCCGGCGAAGTCGTGCTCCGCTTTTTGACACGCTAAAGCCTGTGACATTTACAAACCACGTTTTTGTTAACAACATAAGCTCGCGATTTTCAGAAAAAAAAAACAGCAATACATTCAATATAAAAACGCCGATAAAAATATTAAATTATATTCGATAGATATTTAAAATAATAAAAAAAAACAAAAACAAAAAACAAAGACTGCGATTGCCAGAAAAAAAATCTACCTTCTGTTCTGGTTTCTCTGGTTTTTCTCCGCTTAGCGCCTCCAAGAAGGTGTAAGTCGCTACTTCTAATGCCGCCGAGCTGCTGAGACCAGCACCCGCCGGGACAGTCGATACGACAACCGCGTTGAATGCAGGAACATCGCCTAAAATACATTTACATATTGATTTACTGGTCACTGGTGGATTTATAAATTCCGTCTTGAAACAATGACTACTCTAAGACTTTATTTGTCTAATGTCGCAGAGTTGATTAACGTCACAAATTGTTAAAAATCACAAATTGTTCTCGCTTTTTGACAATAATTAATTAAAATCACGAATAACTTACAAACAAAATTAGCGACGCATCCTTTTATGTAATTCGCCCACTTTGGTTCTCCCGGTTTTATGCTGTCCCGCCGGCCTGCTTCGAATTCAAATTCGTTCGTGGTGCCGATCGCGTCGCTCAGAGAAACGATCTTGCTCTTTTTACCGTTGTGAGATTTTTTTCCGACTATCACCGTCACCATCGGTAGTGCCTGATAATAAATTCACAACATTTTAAACGTCAATTAAATTCTTTTTATAACATAAATATTTCAAAATAATAAATTATTCGCACAATTAAATAATCGGGATAAAGTTAAACTCTCTGCAATCGCTAAAGAAAAACTGCAATAACAACTTGCGTAATTACAAACAATCGACGTGTAATAAATACGAATATTAGTTGGGGCTCGTGTTTCATTGATCCACGACCTCGCATCGGCAGCGCTTGAGTCGTGTCAAAGAGCGCGCTAAACTTGCGTTTATCGAGCGAGTCTTGCAATTTGCATTCTTCGCGCATTATGTAAGCGCAATAAAAACGCAATGCGATCCTAACATCTTCAGAGATCAAATGAAAGAACAAGCTGAACAAGCTTTTCTCTTCCACAGAAAGTAATTCGTAATTACATGCGAAATACACAAATAGTTGCGCGCAAAAAGTTTATGAGAAAATTGAATTTTTCAAAAAGCTGGGGAGAATTTTATTATTACCATCGGCAACACAAAACCCTCGTTGTAGTCGGTGTGCTCGCCGATGAGATTCACGCGTCCCGGCGCGTACACGCAGACGACGGCCTGCTCGCCGAATTTCTCGGCGTAAGTGCTCAACGCCTTCGTCTTGACGCTATTAATGTCCGGCACCGGCGTGGCCATGCTGACGGATTTTTTTTTACTCCGCTCGAGTAAACACACTTGGAAACGCGCGACGACGCACGACACCGGATGTGGAGATTAAGCGACAAAGTAGATAACCGCCGCCACGATCGAGAGTCACGAAGATACTAATGCTAATACAAATGCTCCGTGGCGCGCGATTAAGACAAAAAAAAAAAAAAAAAAAAAAAAAACCACAAATATTCCTTTTTTTTATATAACTTCATTTGTATTAATCACTAGGTTAA